GGAAGATGAGCTCACTGTAAGAGGATACAATGATGCTAGTTTCCAAATGGACAAAAATGACTATCAATCAAAATCAAGGTTTGTATTTTGTCTCAATGGGGGTGCAGTGAGCTAGAAGAGCTCCAAGCAAAGCACTATAGCAGACTCTACAATGGAGGCTGAGTATATTGCATTTTCAGATGCGGCCAAGGAGACAGTTTGGATTAGGAAGTTTGTCACTGAACTTAGTGTGGTTTCCTTGATTGTTGATCCAATGGACATTTATTGTGACAACAATGGAGCAATTGCTCAAGCCAGGGAACCACGATCTCCGTAGAAGTCCAGACACATACTCAGACGGTTCCATCTCATCAAAGAAATAGTTGAGAGGAAAGATGTGCAGATTAGTAAAGTGCATACTGACGACAATCTCGCAGATCCACTAACAAAGCCTCTGTCGCAGCAGAAGCATGAAAGGCACTTGAGATCATTTGGTATAAAATACATGAATGATTGGCTGTAGTGCAAGTGGGAGATTGTTAGAGTAGATGCCCTAAAGCCAATCAATTATTGTAGAATTGACTCTTTGTAATAATGTTCATTGATCAATAAAAGGCATTTTATTCTATATCATGTAAATCATTATTGTATGTATTGATATATGTCTTTAGAATGGTAAAACCATGACGAGGGTATCAAGTTTTCAAATCTTGATAGTGAGAACCCTATGAGCACATATGGTGGCCATTCTAGAAACGTCCGTAGCCCTAGTATTAAAGAAGTGAGGGTGAAGGTTTGTGAAAATTGTCAATTTATTCCAAATATGCTCAAAAGAATAGGTTGGGGGTTGTGGAGTGCTTTTCAATCAAGAGTTGGGGTAGCATTTTTAGCTTTCTTTTCTTTCTTTTGAATGAAAAAAAAAAAAAAATTTGAAAGAAAAAAAAAAAAAAAGAAGAAAAGAAAAATAGAGAAGAAAGAAAGAAAGAAAAAAGGAAATTTATTGAGAAACATTGCAAAGTATAAATGATGCAATTAAATTATTTTTGATAAAAGGTGGAAAAAGTGGGGTGTAAAGAAGAATGGTGGTGCTTGAATGAAAGTGTTTGAAAGAAATAGGATTGAGTCCCTTATTTTTGTTTATCCTTTCCGTTCTTTCATAACCTCATAACCTAGCCTAACGTAACAAGCTTAATAAAGACCTCTTGATCCGAGTTAGTGTGATCATTCTACATTAGTGGAGAGTAGTTTGAAAAGTGAGCCTATGGAATTTGATTCTATACATTATATTATATTTTTAAAATTTTGAGATCAATTCTTTGTTTGTGAAGTTTGTGCATGTGATCATCCGGGTTTTGAGATTAACGGGTTTGTGGAACGATTGATGTGTGAGAGTTGATAATGAGAATGAAATTGATTTTTGAGTTATCTTTGGGCTTGGGTGGTGTTTAACTATTCTTTATGTTATGTGTTGTATACAATTTTTGAGACGAATGTATATCCGGAGACTAATGTTTTTTTGTTTGTTTTTAATTTTCGAGTCTAGGTTAGGTTTAGTATGGATGTTTGTGGGTATCATCGCTGGAAACCCTCACGAGACTACAACTCGTCCAACTAGGGCCACCTAGGGGTTTAAAGGCTTGTTGCATACACTAAATGCAACCGTGACAATCTACAGAAGTGATTTGGGGTAGATTAGATTTATGTTTATTTTATTTTAATTTTCAAGCTAGAAGACATATTTTTATCACTTAGCTTGCTAGGGACTAGCAATAAGCTGGTTGGGGGTTGTGATAAGTGCTTGAAAATACACTTATACTTAGTGGTTTATAGGTATCATTTGTGGGAAATTAGGATTAATTCGCATGAATTAACTTAATTGTTTCATAAACGTACTTTTCAGGATCACGGGTATTTTTGTTGTGTTTTCAGGGAATAAGGCTCAAAATAATATTCGGATGAGAGATGATGTTGGTGAGAGAATTTTTGACGACTTGAAACAAACAGATCGAGAATCGGAGTTGAATTGAAGAAGTTATGGAAGTTGAAGTAAAGAGAAGATTCTAGATTACGTTCTAGCTTGAGCATGCCTCAGTATTTTGAAAATATCTTGAGCTGTAGAACTCAGATTAAGACTATTCTTGACCTGTTGGAAAGCTGATTTAAAGGGTACATTTCATATGTTTACCAATTTTCCAAATTTTATCGTTATCAAGTTCAAAAATCACCATCTCTGAAGAATAGTGGAATGATGCGGGAAGAAGACCAGTAGCTACTGTGCCGTGGCAAACTTTTTCCAATAGCTACTATGCAACATCACAGTGCCAGGGCACAGTCATAGAAGTTAAAAATTGATTATCTGTTTTTAGGTAGGAGAATAGGATTAAGAGTCCTAAAACAACTAGAATTAAGGAAAACAAAACCCTAACCCTTGTGGGATATAAATATAAGTCTTTTAGTATTGTTTTGGGGGAATTCTTTTAGAAATAAAAAAATAGAGAACAAAGATATTCAAGAACTGAAGAAAAAGGGAGATTAAAGAAGGCTTGGAGAAGAAGAATTGGAGGAGATCATCATCAACTTCATTAATCCAACCAAGTTTCACTAAGTTTTTCTTCTTCTTTGTTATTATTATTTGTTATGAATAATACAATGATGTTCTCATATTTATTCATGAAGAACTAATTCTTTTGTGATTGAGGGTGATTTCAAAACCCTAGATGATGAGAATGCAAAATGTCATATTTTTCCCCCTTAATGTCTAGTCTTTTATACTTATTTGGAGCCTAAATGTACTCATTATTATTTTATTTTGATTTAGGATGCAAATGGAGGCGTTAAATGCAAAACGAAACTAATTAGGTGATTTTAGGCAATTTCGACATTGCTTCGTAATATGGACATAACTCTCTTATCCGAGCTCAATTTGAGATGATTCAAAATGTCGTGGAACTCTAAGAAAGATATCTACAACTTTCATGTTTTGAGTTTTGAGAGATACACGATGCATCAAGGTTGGAATTTGGCTTCAAGTTGACGCACCTGCACTGCTGACGTTCTGGAACATTCCGCCTTGTCATGCAAGTCAATTAGGCAATTTATTATTGGAAGTTTTGAAGACCTGTTGCACGCAAGTTACAGCTAGAAACACCACTTTCTTATTTTATATTAGGACTTTATTTTATTTTCAATTAATTAGATTAGGATAAATATTATTTTAGGATATTAGAATATTTTTAGGAGATTGAGTAGAATTCAAAGACTTGAATTGGATATTCTTAAAAGGGGGAGAGAGATCAAATTAGAGGAGAACACACACGCCTCTCTTTCTCTCTTCTGGAATTTTTCTCTTTTGAGTTTTGATTATGGCCATGAGTGGCTAAAACTTTTATAACTTGGTCGAAGGAAACGGAGGCCTCGGAATCAATAAACTGTGAGATCTAATCTATTTTTTTTTTTAGTGTTCAATATATGTTTTGAGTATTGGATGTTCTTCTATGCCTATTTTCATGATTGTTTCATTTAATTACTAGGAGGCCTACTAGTTTATTATTTGTTGCAATCTACTGCTAAGTTAGATATCAAATCCGTAATTGTTTGATCCCTATAACTTGTGAGTAATTAAGGTTTAAGAATTTGCTGCGTCAAGAATTATTAAATCTTAAGAAGAACATTCAACTAAATTAAATACAACCACTTGTGTTTATGTTGTTCAGCTTCATCGATTTCTCTAGCCCTTAAGATTGCTACTAGATTAAACCTTTAGCGCTTGTCTAGGGTTGTTTAGTAGTAAGATTAATTAGATCGCTTGTTTCCTAATTAATTACAACCAAGGAGAGATAGGAAAATAGTTCCAACGGTGAATACTCAAAGTAACAATTGATATATACTTGCATCGATGATCAGTTGTAAAATTCCGATGGTGGATGTTGACTTAGACCAAGGTTTGTTCTTTTGATTGATTAATTTGAATTTTTTTTCCTGAAATTGTTTCCGTTTTACTCAAATCACCCTCTCCCCCCCCCCCCCAGCCTTGTTCACATAACAAAAAACTCATCTAGATACTCTTCGTGGGAACGATCCTTACTCATACTACTACATGTGTTTTAGGTTTTAATTTTAGTTGCCTGCGACAGCACACCACTAGACATGTCTTGTGATTAATAAAATCTACATCTTTTTATCTTTTGATCCCTCTTGGTTATGTGATTATTTTTCTGAAAATAGGGTCTAACTAGATTTTTCTAATTGTTTAAGTGGCTAATTAAATCGTTAGGATTAATCTATTAATGCCAATTTAGGTTGTTTAGTACGGAATCGCTTTATTTACCTAAATAACTAGTGGTAAAGTGTATGCCTGCATACATGGGGGATAATCACTAAAGATAAATAAACCGACCATATGAGTTTAGCCTCGATTCAGTAGGTCTCTCGCAACTTAATGCTTTTATTACTTTGAATCGAGAGATCGTATCCTAGGTTATTTAATAAATAGGGAATTGGGCTATGACCGTGTCTAGTCTAAGGACTCAGTAAGGAGAGATGGGACTTATCAACGTTCGGTATTTTCTGAGCTGATGTGATCAAGAGGGTAGAAAGTTAAAGAGTGCTTTTATTATATGCAAACCATGTCTAGTGGTGGCGAATAAACCTTCAATCTCGTTTATCTCATTGATTTCTCTTTCGTTATTAGTTGCTTGATTTACATTGTTTGCTTTGAGATTTTTTTTTTATTTATTTTTTTAGTTTTTGTTGAGTTTTTATAATTCGTGACAAACCCTATTAGAAGTAGATAATTAATTAAGTTCACAAATCCTCTGCGGGAAAGACCCTTACTTGCTCTTTGCTACTACACGACTTTGCATTAGAATTTAGTGAGGTAAAATTAGGTGTTGCATTTGCATGCATCAATTTTTGGCGCCGTGTCACTGGGGATTTTCATTAACTTAATTATTTGTTTACTTTTTGTTTATTTTTCAATTTTTATTTGTTCTTTGTTTTTGAGTTGTAGGTGTTTTTGGTGAATGAGCTCACGATACAATTTGAGATCGAATCCGTATTCTGATCTGATTCCACCTATTACTCATTCGAAACAACCTTTGCATAGATCAACTCTCGATCAAGCAATCCATACGGATCTTCCACTCACAAATGATTCTTCTGATTTTTCTGATCAAGAGGAGATGGCTAATCTAACTGTCAAAGAGATGGTTGTACCAACCGTTGACCAACAACCTTTATGCATTCGATACAATGATACGGCAGGGGGAGCTTTTGAGCTTAAATCTGGGATGATTCATCTTCTACCAATTTTTAGAGGTTTAGCGGGAGAGGATCCAAACAAGCACCTTAAGGAGTTCCATGTGGTGTGCTCGAGTATGAAACCAAATGGAACAACAGAGGAATAAGTGAAGTTAAGGGCATTCCCATTTTCTTTAGCAGATAGCGCTAAGGAATGGCTTTATTACCTACCATCTGGGACCATAACTACTTGGAATGAGATGAAGAGGTTGTTCCTAGAGAAGTATTTTCTAGCATCTCGAGCCACACTCATTAAGAAAGAAATTTGTGGGATTCAGCAATACAATGGGGAAAACTTATATGAATATTGGGAAAGGTTTAAGAAATTGTGTGCTAGCTATCCGCATCATCAAATAAGTGAGCAATTACTTCTCCAATATTTTTATGAGGGATTGATGCCAATAGAGAGGAGCATGATAGATGCAACAAGTGGAGGAGCATTAGTTGATAAAACTCCTACAGAAGCAAGGAACTTAATTGCAACCATGGTGGCAAACTCTCAACAATTTGGTACTCGATCCGATCCACCACCAAGGGAGGTAAATGAAGTAGGGATATCCAATAATCTTGACCAACAATTGAATAATTTGACTGCACTTGTGCAACAAATTGCAATTGGACAAGTGAAGACGTGGAATTTGCTCCAATGTGGGACATCCTACCGATATGTGTCCTACCCTTCAAGAGACAAATGCAGAACAAGTAAATGCCATGGGAGGATACCAAGGACAACAAAGGCAAAGGTATGATCCATTTTCCAATACCTATAATCTAGGATGGAGGGATCACCCTAATCTTAGCTATGGAGGAAATCAACAAGCTACTGTCACTAATAATCCACCTGGTTTCCCTTACCCACGAGCTCCACAACCGTACCAAGCAAGACCCCAAAATGTTTCCCAACCTCAAGGTAAGTCTTTGGAGGACTTGGTAAACTCATTAGCAACTAGCTCTCTTCAATTTCAGCAAGAGAATCTCAAGTTCCAACAAGAAACAAAAATGTCAATCAAGAATTTGGAAAGCCAAGTTAGTCAATTGGCTACTACTCTTGGAAGATTAGAGGCGCATGGGTCCGGAAAGCTTCCTTCCCAACCTTTGGTTAACCCTAGGGAGAATGCTAGTGCCATTACTTTGAGAAGTGGTAGACAACTTGAGAAGACTCACAAGAAGCCAAATGATGAGAAAGAAGTTGGAGATGAGTTGATTCAAGGTAGAACAAAGCAGCCCAAAAGTGTAGAAAATTCGCCAACCGATTCTTCCAATGCAAAACATCCACCTAAGGTACAATCTAAAGTTCCTATTAATACTTACGAACCTCCTTTGCCTTTTCCTAGCAGGTTTGCCACATCAAAGAAGGAGGAACATGAACAAGAAATTTTGGACACTTTTAGAAAAGTACATGTCAACATTCCTTTGTTGGATGCAATAAAGCAAGTGCCGCGTTATGCGAAATTTCTTAAAGAATTATGCACCAACAAGAGAAAACTTAAGGGAAATGAGGTGGTGAGCATGGGAGAAAATGTCTCAATGGTTTTGCAAAGGAAGCTTCCAACAAAGTGCAAAGATCCGGGTAGTTTCACCATACCATGCATCATAGCCAATACAAGGTTTGAGAAAGCAATGTTAGACTTAGGTGCTTCTATTAATGCCATGCCTTACTCAATTTATCTTGATTTAAATCTTGGTACTCTTAAAGAGATTGGCGTAGTTATTCAACTTGCTAATCGATCTAATGCCTATCCAAAGGGAGTTGTGGAAGATGTTTTGGTGCAGGTAAACAAGCTTGTTTTTCCAGTGGATTTCTACATGCTTGACATGAAAGATGAAACAACTGTGAAAACCATGCCAATGCTTTTGGGGAGACCATTCATGAAAACAGCCCGTATGAAAATAGATGTGTATAATGGGACGTTGACAATGGAGTTTGATGGGGAAGTCATTCAATTTAACATCTTTGACGCAATGAGGTATCCTAATGATGACAATGATTGCTTTTCCATTGATATACTTGACTCTTTAATGCAGCAAATGTTCAAGCTTAAGGGTAAAGATCTATTGGAAGTGGCAATATGGAATGGGTTGTCAACCGAGGAACCTCAAAGTTTTAATGAAGACGTAGAGTTGGGAGAATAGCTAAATAAAACTATAGCAATGTTGGATGAGCTTCCAATGAAAAATTCAAGGTATGAAATCTCCTATATTTCTCTTCCCATGTCTAATGAGAAACTTTTACCTTCCATTGTGTAGGCCCCTACCTTGGAGCTTAAGCCTTTACTAAGTCATCTCAAGTATTTATACTTTGGAGAAGGAGACACACTGCCCGTGATTGTAGTGGCCAACCTTTCAAAGGTGCAAGAAGAGAAACTTGTTCGTTTGTTGAGAGAGTACAAAACGGCAATTGGTTGGACGATTGCTGACATTAAAGGAATAAGTCCTTCTGTAACGCCCACATGGAGGTACGTAATTTAATTTATGTTCTTATGCCTTTAGTTGATTTTACGAGTGTACTAGCTAGAAAGAAAGCATTACACCTTCCATGTGCATACACCGCATATTATTAGAGGAAGGATCAAAGCCTACAAGAGAAGCGCAAAAACGGTTGAATCCACTAATGATGGAAGTAGTGAAGAAGGAAATAATCAAGTTGTTAGATGTTGGTGTGATCTACCCAATTTCGAACAGTAAATGGGTTAGTCCGGTCCAAGTAGTTCCTAAGAAATCCGGAATAACCGTGGTAAAGAATGAAGATAATGACTTAGTTCCCACTCGCATTCAAAAGGGATGATGAGTGTGCATAGACTACCGCAAGCTCAATGCCATAACATGTAAAGATCATTTTCCTCTTTCATTTATCGATCAAATGCTTGAACGTTTAGCGGGCCATTCACACTATTGTTTTCTTGATGGATTTCCAGGTTATAATCAAATTGTGATTGCATCGGAAGATTAAGAGAAGACAATGTTTACATGCCCCTTTGGCACTTTTGCTTATCGACGCATGCCATTTGGCCTTTGTAATGGACCCGCCACCTTTCAAAGGTGCATGGTAAGTATTTTCTTCGATTACATAGAGAACATTATAGAGGTATTTATGGATGATTTTAGTGTCTATGGGAAATCATTTGATAATTGTTTGGGTAATTTGACATTAGTTCTTAAAAGTTGCATAGAAACTAATCTCGTTTTAAATTGGGGAAAATGCCATTTTATGGTAAATCAAGGGATAGTTTTAGGGCATATTATCTCATATAGGGGGATTGAAATTGATAAAGCTAAAATAGATCTTGTACGTTCCTTACCACCTCCTACTTGTGTGAGAGAGGTACGTTCTTTTCTTGGACATGCAGGATTTTATAGGAGATTTATCAAGGATTTCTCTAAGATCGCAAGGCCCTTATGCTGTTTGTTACAAAAAGAGGTAGCATTTGAGTTCGATGAAAAGTGTATAAAGGCGTTTGAGAAACTAAAAGAACTCCTAACCACAACCCCAATTATTCAGCCACCCGATTGGAGTCTTCCATTCGAGTTGATGTGCGACGCAAGCGATTATGTCATTGGAGCCGTGTTAGGACAACGAGTTGGAAAGTTACCACCCGCCATTTATTATGCTTTAAGAACATTGAATGATGCTCAACTTAACTACTCCACAACTGAGAAAAAACTTTTGGCAGTTATTTTTGCATTAGAAAAGTTTCATTCCCATCTAATTGGCACTAAAGTTACTGTTTTTTCTTACCATGCAACTCTTAGGTATTTGCTTACAAAGAAGGAGGCTAAACTAAGGCTTATAAGGTGGATTCTATTGCTACAAGAGTTCAACCTAACAATCCAAGAGAAAAGAGGGAGTGAGAACATTGTAGCAGACCATTTAAATATAGTAAATTACATAGTGACCAAGAGAACCCCACCCAACATGTCATGTGCTATCAAGGACAAACTAAAGAAGATCGCCAAGCAATATGTGTGGGATGATCCATATCTTTGGAAATATTGCCCCGACCAAATCATAAGAAGGTGCGTTTCCGAAAGTGAATTTAATTCAATTTAACTTTTTGCCATTCCTATGCACGTGGAGGACACTTCGGAGCAAAGATGACAGCTCTCAAGGTTCTTGAGAGTGGATTCTATTGGCCTAAACTCTTTAAAGACGCATATTATTTTTGCAAAACATGTAATAGATGTCAACGCTCAGGTAATTTAGGCCTAAGAAATCAAATGCCCCAAAATCCGATTTTATTTGTTGAGATTTTTGATGTATGGGGTATTGATTTCATGGGACCCTTTTCGTCTTCTTATGGTTACTTTTATATCTAACTTGCTATTGATTATGTGTCTAAATGGGTAGAAGCAAAGGCCACCCGAACTAATGATTCTAAAGTTGTTGTAGATTTTGTAAAATCTAACATTTTTGCAAGGTTTGGAACACCTAGAGCCATAATTAGTGACGGGGGCACTCATTTTTGCAACCGTACATTTTGGGTTACCTTGAAGAAATACAACGTCACCCACAAGATCTCTACGCCATACCACCCACAAACAAGTGGACAAGCCGAAGTCTCTAATCGGGAAATCAAGTCCATCTTAGAGAAAACCGTGAATCCAAATAGGAAAGATTGGAGCTTGCAACTTGACGACGCATTATGGGCATATAGGACAGCATATATGTAACGCCCACACAGAGGTATGTAATTTAATTTATGTTTTTATAGCCATTAGTTGATTTTTGTTAGAATTATTGTAAGAGAATATGAAGAAATTGCCTTAAACTTGCATTAAGGGTAAAATAGTATTTTCACTCAAAATTAGTTGAAATTGTGGGGAGTGAAAAGAGATAGAATTTCATAGAGAATACAATAAAAATGAGGGCATTATGGTAATTGACTAAGGGGTAAAGATGGAATTTCTAAGAAAGAGTAAGGGCAAAATGGGAAAGTGTGGTTATAAAATAAGATATTAAGGGTTTGTAACCCTTATTTCTCTCCTTTCCATTGCTACTTTCCTTCTCTATTTTCTCTCAATTTTTCACTCAATTCTCCAAGGATTTTGAGGGCTTTTGAGTGGATTTTAATAGGGTTTTGATCCTAGGCAATAAGGGGTAAGAATTCTTGCTTTATGTATATGATTTATTTGTGTAGAAGTTGAATTCTTCTTAAGTTTATGCTTAGGGTTAAGAGAAGGTTTGAATCCAACAAGAGTTGAGAGCTTTAGTGGAGACTACTCAAGTATAAGGTAAGTAAATTCCACTCAAACTCCAAATCAAGTTAAGGTTTAAGAAATCAAGTGAGTAGAGATTTCTTTTAAGCATGCATGTGTTAAGATTATTGAGAAATTGAGATGAGATGATGATTATTTATGGTTGTTGTTGGATATATTTGAGCATGATAAGTGTATGTGGATGAGGGTTGTACCAAGAAGAATTTCCTACATGCATGCCACCTTAATTGAGTGGCCTAAGAAGAAAGAAAGAATGTGTACGGTCCGCAAGAGTGCATGTAAATGAGGACTGTACTCACTCACATGGCCAAGGTTCCAAATCCATGCATCAACCGAGACTGATCGGCAAAGAATAAGAAAAGAAAGAATGAGAAAGCTTGAACAAGCAAAGAAAAGAAAAGAAAAACAAGAAAGAAAAGAGAAGCTTGAGCAAGACAAACAAGAAGAAAGGAAAAGAATAGAAAGAAAAGAAAAGAAAAGAAATAGAATAAGAAATAGAAAGAAGAAAGAAAATGAATTATTGCACATGCATTTCATTCATGCATATTATCATGTAGTCTACCATGGTTAGAAAGAATAGAAAGAATAGAAAGAAAAGGAAGAATAGAAAGAATAGAAAGAAAGAATAGAGAGAAGGAAAGAACAGCGAGAATTAGGAAGAAAGAAAGAACATTAAGAATTAGAAACAGAGAAAGAACTACGAACGAAAGAAAAGAAAAGAATTAAGTAAGGAAATAACCAAAGAAGGAGAAGAGATAAGGGATTTACTTATTGAGCATTTTTGTGCTCACCCCGTTGTTTTTCCATGTTTTTGCAAGAAATAGGTGAGCAGCGGTCGAAAGGACGTCAACAAGCGGAGAGCATTGGCATTACTGTCCACCGTTGCTAAGTTTTTGTACTTGTTAATTTGATATGTGTAAAGAATTATATTTTATAAGTAAAGAAAAATTTGGGCCCAACTATTTTTCAAATGCTAAGTATGTATGTTTTATTGTATATATTCTAAAGTATACTAGTAGAAAGAAGTCATTACATTTTTGGTATTAGAGCAAAGACTTTGGGATTTGACAGTGTGCCATTCTCACCGCCGCGACGTTCCGTAGCCGACTGTTGTAAGTTAAATTTTCTTTCCTTACTTAAAGTGTTGCATGAGTTGATTAAATGTGGTTGTTTTGTAGATGAGACGTTGAACCCGAGCAAGTAGTAAGAAAGCAGTGAGTACAGGGGAACCTTCTAGCCCACCAGAACCTACTCCCCCTACCCTTAATGAAGCTAGAATTTGGGTGATTGTACAGCAAGTCGTAAGAGAAAGATAGGGGAGAGTTGAACCAAAAAGAATTGAAACCCCCATTCAAATACAGCCTACTAGAGAAGAAAGAGAAAGGCCAGTCCCCCGACAGTACAGAATCAGATTGAACCGATTTATGGGCTTCTAAGTCAATATCAGCCGTCAGACTTTAAAGGTACAACAAACCCTTTAGTGGCAAAAGAATGGTTTAGGTCCGTTGAGCGTATGACGACACTGTTTCCTATGACGGACAAGGAGAAGATCTGGTATGCCAGTTTCTTATTTTAGGGTGATGTCCCGAATTTGGTGGGAATTGATGGAAGACACTCATGATGTTTCGGTGATGACTTGGGGCGAGTTTAGAAGATTTTTTGATGCTGAGTATAGAACAGTGGATCAGGTACATGAGAAGATACAAGAGTTTATTAATTTAAAACAAGGGTTGAGTACAGTGAAAGAGTATTCTGTGAGGTTTAATTCCCTTGCCAGGTTTGTACCCGGAATAGGCAGTACCCCAGAATTGAGAAGAGATAAGTTTGTCCATGGGTGGAAGCCAGAGATAGCCCGGGATGTAATGACAGGAGCTGAGCCCCCTCAAACCTATAGTGAAGCTTTAGAGCAGGCTTTAAGG